ATCCTGGACCTTATGGAATATTATATATTTTACTTTTATTAAAGAAATGATTGACATTTGTGTTTTCAACATTTATTCTGAATCTGTATAATAACGCTTAATTATCTATGTGATAACTATAATAATAACAAATATCTGTGGATTTTTTAAAAGATTTATTGAACTGTATTATTATTTATTAGTAATATATTCATATATGTAGTGGCGTAATTTTACAACAGTCTCTTCATGAAAAGTTTGTTGCATTGTCGTGCAAATACGATTAACCTTCAGAATGGAATGATAATCTCCAAATAACTGAGACCAGTCGATCAATCATAGGTCGTTAAGCCTCGTCGAGCAATTGGCGACAATGAGATTCGTGAGATCGATCAAAATCGCGGAACTATTTTAAGCACGACACATAGCGCCGATAATCGTATTACGCTCCAATAGAAATGGTATTCGGTGAACGACGCAACGAAGGGAATACGTCGAGAGAATAGTGCACGTCCTACACAATTAACCGAGTCTTACGAACTAACGTAGTTTAGTTAATATCACTGAATTACTAATGAACAGCAAAGTCTTCTTATATGTAAAGTGATGTGAATAATTGTAGACACAAAGTAACTTTTACATTATTACTGATATGTATTTCCTATGATTCCTAATATAAAAATATAGAATCTTTTAGATGAACAATAACAAATAGAATGATGAACAGAGATAGTGTTTAATTAAATAATCGTTTTAATACTTGTTTCACAATATAACTGAATTTCTGACAATTATTGAGAATATTATTATATGTTGAAACAACAATGTTGAATATATATATATATATATATATATATATATATATATTATTTATAATCATTATTTATATATATACATCGATATTTTTATTAATAAACTAAAATATCCTCGAGACATACGCCCAAATTAAATAGAAAAATGAAAATCAGACTTACATATTTTAATTTTTAACGTAAACTTCATCCGCCAGGAACATGTAGAAACGTAATTATTTAAAGTTAAATTAATTATACATATGCAAGAAAATGAACTGCGGAAGTTGCGGAAATGAAAATGTTAATTGCGGAAGTATGCTTCCATGCTTTTCAACGCTGCAAACTAATCGTTATATGTCACTTAACAGTAGAAGAGTTAATGAAACAATCGTATGGTTTGCCATTTCAATTTGACTGTATTTGTCCATGTCTCGCTGCTTCCCTTCGAAACGTCAGGAACACTTGTAACGAACAGATGTGCTTGGTTTAATATCGCTGGAACATATTTAATTAAGAAGGTTGATGCCTGGTCTCAGCTGTGAAGTTGACAAGATGTATTTATCCATCTGGCTCAGCTGTTCACCTTCATCACACTACAGCTCTTCAAACACTGTGTAGAGGAACTAGTAGACATGAAAGTTTCACACAAAAAAAGAACTCTACAAATACAAATATGAAGATCACCTAGAAAAAACTATCAAATTATACTATTTTCACTTAAAATAATTTTAGTATTTTGATTTGAAAAGGAAGGTAAAATCTACAAATCTCAAACCTACTCTCTCATTATTAGACTGTGGATTTTATGCATTTATGGAAAAATTGGGTAGACGCAATTTAAAATAATAATAAGATTATTAACTACATTATTTAAAATATTATTTTCAATAATATGCTATTTTATTTCACAATTATTTTTATGACTGTAATTACTTTTGAAATGGTTTTATTCGAATTATTATTTCACATAACATGTTATTTTATTGGAAATCATATAAAATAATTTTTTCGGTTATTTCGAGAATGACTTCTTTTGTTATATTTGAAATGAAAATGAAATGGAAATGAAGTTTTCATTTCAAAATTTTAATTTATTATTTCGAAAGGATCGATATTATTTTTATTTTGAAATAACAGTAATAAAAATAACGATATGAAATGGACTATTTCAAATAGATCATTTCCATTTTTATTTCAAATACAATTGTCTTGGGTCTATTACGAACTGCACTTTCCGCATTTTTTTTGTACGAAATATAATCCGTTGTTACAGAATTTGATGAAACAATATTTATTGTAGAACGGTTAATCGTAGTACTGTTTGTAAACGTTCATGGGAAGAATAATACTTGGCGACGATATTAATACAGCGAAAGTCTAAAGTTAATCAAGAAGTTCGGCACATTGAATTCCATCTTTATTTTTCTTGGTACTTGAATACCTTTGAGGCATTTACATTTCACAGCTGTCACACAGTTTCGTTCTTCTTCAGAAAGAACGAATACCAAACTCATTAAAACTTGCGCGGCACTGGATTTAAATTAGCCGCTCCCAAATGTTTCGCGAACGCCGATCCAAAGAATGAATAATTCACGAACGAAGTGCGGTCTAGAATCTAGACTTCGGTTCAAACTTTCGATCCCTGTAGTATGTGAATTGCTCTCTGCCAACGAAATAATCGAAACAAAAACGAAAGAAACAACAATTTCGTTTGTACGAAAGCCTACTTTTGGTATAGTCCGATCGAGGGAGAGAAATTTTATAAATCCGTAATTGACCGTTCAGTCGGGTTTATTCGAGAATTGCAATATAGAGAAATCGATATTTACGGCATCTGTATGTATGTACAGTACACCAATAAGCAAGGATTTCATATTCTCGCTCCTTGAGCTTTTATTAGACATCGATTCTAATATCAGATCGAATATCGGAAGCATTCAATAATGCGCGTGTGCAATATTTTAGCGGGAAAAAATACTGGGATATTGACTGTGTGTATTATATATATATGCTGTGTATATATATACACAGCATCCCGTCAATATCCTAGTAATAGGAAAGTAATATAAATTGGAAATGATCGACAACTGAAAAATACGACGTATGAATTGCCTCGCGATCATGCACAATGCGGAAGAAATGGAGTGTGTGATTTATATATCTTTATACAGCTCCCGGCAAAAAATATTCGAAGTCCTTTTAAATCGCAATAATTTGTATAGAACTGGACTGAATTACTTGAATTTTTTGTTTAATTTTTAAAAGGACTAGTTTACAGTACCCTGACAGAAATGCTTCTTTCTAATTTTGCTATTACTTGGAATGACAAAAAGTAATAGGAAAACTCTCGTTAAATAATTAAACCTTTAAAATTTTTTAATATTACGAGGAAAAAACAATTCCAAAATAACAATTTTTATATCTGAATTGGAATACATTGGAGTGGTATATAAATTTTCTTTCTGAATAAATTGAATAGGTTTAAAGTAGACAAACAATACTTTTCTTTTACATTTTTAAATATTTTTACTGTTTTGTCTATTTTCTACTCGCTTTTATCATAATTCAGTCTACGTATGACGCATAACGTTATATAAAAATATTAATTTTTTACTTTTTGAACTATACAATTACCTTGTAATCCGAAAATATATCAGTTTTAATATTTTAATAGTCTAAGGAATCTTAATATTTCAATAGTCTAAGGAATTAATAAATTAATGTAGTATTGGTTTGTTACAGAACTTAAAGAATCAGATCATGACGACGAACTTGTGGGTCGAACAGGTGAGTGATATTAATTCATGGCGTCAAGTAAAGTCAACGAATTTTCACAAAAATTATTTCATCAATGTAAATTTTAAATCAATTTTTATTTTTAGTTTCGCAAATATTAAACTTTTTTACGGTACAGTTTATTAAATTTCCTTTTTATACTAAATTATAGTAAACGTTCGCATGCCTTGTTGAAAAAACTTCTTCAAGGGGATATCCGACGTGTTGAATGCGCTTTGGGTCAAAATACGAAAAAAAAAACGAAATAGACCTCGATAGGCGTTACCCTCGAGTGTGCTGTAAAAAGTAGAGGGGATTTGCCAGAGATGCAATTTTTTGGTGAAAGTAGACAGCTCGGCGAACGTTCGATGTTCCATATTTTATTTTACCGTTGGGTGTGATATTTTAGCAATCTTGATGGACGTATATAATTAAATTCGAGTAATTATGTACGCGTGTGGAAAACGAAAAATTGATAATAGTGATTTCATTGTGTAGGAAACATGATGATAAAAACCTCGTTAGAAAACCGATTGTTCAATCATTATTATGCATAGCTAAAGGTGATATGAATAGTTACTTAAAATATATTAATATATTCTTTCTTTACTATTTCTTTCAATTATATAAAAAAAGAATATTTCATAGTACATGGATCATCCATTTGAATATCAACTAGACGATAAACATGAAGACATTATTATAAATTCCTTTATAAGAAACAGAAGTGGTTGAAAATTTCGTTAAAATTCGATTGAAAATGAATATAGCGTAATCATCTCTTTGAACCATATTTAAAGGAAAAATGTTTCAATCGATCCACCAATAACCGAATAAGTTAGGGTGATCACGCTGGATGGTTTACTCTGCATACATATTTAATCTCAGAAAACTGTCTCATGAATATAAAATATAGACTCAATCGTGTTTTTCGATAAAAGGCGCCGTAAAGCAATGAAAACTGGTGCTCCTTTGACGCATCAACTTTGTCTCGGTGGTTTGCTAAAATGTCGCATTATGCGCCGGGTGAATCAGACATTGTTTCAGTAAATAGCCTGGAGATATCATTCGCGCCAAGAAAATTTACTTCTTCCTTCTGGTGTAAAAGGACCATAGTAGGAATGTCGTATATGTTGGTAAAAGCACAATGCTTTGTGCTAAAAACACAGTTTATCTCGTTAAATTCCTCCAAGAATTTATTTCGAGCACAGTCTACTGGTTTAACCGTATAGGTGTTACTTAATGGAAGTTGCTAAATCCTTTCGCGCCACCTAACCTGGACTTCGTAGATTTCTTATTATTCTTTCTTATTATTTATTATGTGTGACATTCAGTAATCACAGACGGGCAGTATTTTATTCGAATGGCGGATAAGAGATAAGGATTAACGAATAAAATTTTATCTAATCGTATAAAAATTTATCCAGATAACAATTTATCCCAATAAGATTTTCTTCGAATAAAAGTTCATCTGAATAAGAAGTTATTTGTTATTCGAATATGTGTGTGTATTCATTTGTACAGAGTTTAATTCGGAAAATACTCTCCTCCATGTTAATTTTTCTAAGTAGTTTTCTTTTCCACTGCTGCATCGAAAAAGTGTCGCTCTCCTGGAAATAAGAAGAATTTACAAAGAATAGAGAAGCTGAAGTAATTTGAATGTCTCTGTAGCAATTCCTTGCTATTTTATGAGAACATGCACGTTTATTTTCTGTTTGTTCTGGTCTATTGTCAAATCACAGATCTTTACGATCCTATTTATACTAGATTGGTCATAACGTACGTTGGAATGGTCACAACTTAATGAAATTTGGCAGACTGATATACATTCAAGGATACAATGACGTGATCCGCAAAGCTATTAAACCCCCCAAAGGGCAGTTAAAACATATGGTAATAAAGTTTACGACTTTAATGAATGCTGAACTACGTATCAGGAACCTTATCTCACATTTTCAGTGTTTTATTAGCTGTAAACCAAATTTTATAATTTGAGAGATGCGTATGATTTTAGAGATAAAGCGACGATTCATGGTACTGATTGTCAAAATTATGCTATACCGACACATTGAAAATATCGAAGAAAGTATAAATAACAAGTCATTTTAAATGGATCTCGACTTGTTTAAAGATGTTTAGTATGCA